TCTGGATGGGCTATTTAAACTGGGCTAGTGCTCAGGATCAGCACTACTTTGTCTTCAGCCTCCTGTGTATCCTGTGATCCTGTATCCTGATTCCAGTTCCTGACCCGGATTGTCCTGCCTACCTCCTGGACTCTGCCTGCATTGACCTCGACTAGTTGTCTGACCTTTTCTTCTGTCTGTTTCTTTGGCTTCTGCTTCACCGATTGGCTTCCAGACCTCTGATGACTTTGCCTGCCCAATGTGAACACCTGCTCTGCTGCTAGCAAGACTTACAGGCACTCGTGCCACTCTGCACTCTGGTGCCTTCTGTTTACACTACCAGAGGCCTCAAGTCAGATGTGTAGGAGAGGCCTTCCTCACCATTTCAGACTCTGCTACCAGGTACGTGATAGAAAGATTATGCTAAAATCTCCTGGATGCGAAAGGATTGATTTTATCAAGCAAAGATGTTAACTCTATGTGTTGCGTGACTTGATATACATATTAAAATTCATACATGAGAGCTGTTTTACCTAGATTTGTAATTTTGCCCATCTTGTCCTTTGATGTACACAACCTTACCAGACAACACAGCCAAGTCAGTGATCTGATCTTTCTTTGTTACGTTTGATTAACACAGCTTAGTCACCTTCCTGATGTAGCACCACCCCCTTAGGGGCCGCTGGATTTGAATTGGGTCCCCCATGCTCTTAACGACCAGACAACATGCATTTTCCACACTTTGCACACCTGAGTCAATAAACAGTCTTGTTTTCTTTTTTCATTTTATTAAGGGGTTAAACTTGGATGGGGCTAGGTGTATATGGGATGCTCAAGGAATTGAAGAATTTGCAGACAACTCATAAGCAACCAGGGGCGGACTGACCGTTTGGAAACTTGGGCACTGCCCGAGGGCCCGGGGTTAGTAGGGGGCCCCATGAAATGCCCCTGGTACCTTTTTCTTAGGCTTTTTTGAGTTTGGGCAAGGACACAGGGGCCCCATGATCCCCTATTGCCCGGGGGCCCCATGAGTTGTCAGTCCGCCCCTGTTAGCAACTATGAAAAAGATTCAGATTAGAAACAGTCTTTTCTTGAAGAGCACTAAAGGCTCTTAGGTGTACTTCATCAGACCCTGGATGATTCCTTTGCTTCACCCAGCAGCCTGAGGGTATCCCTGAGTAAGGGGGCCCAAGGGTTGTTAGTGTAGAACAGTCCCAGATGAGGAGCTAGTTACATCTGATTGCACTCTCCTCTTTTCTTGTCCAGGGGGTATAAGAGTATTCACGCTGTCCCGTCCTGTTAGCATGGTGGGTAGGTGTCTGCCTTTAGGCCTTACACTATGCTTGCTTCTTCCCTGCTACACAGGCTGTCCTCCCCAGAAGAGTTGAGGCAGTGAAGATCCTCTTTTCCAGCGACCTGTCTGTAGGTGGGCGCCCCTCCCTGGGGCCCCCTTCCAGTCTCCACACTCCAGCTTTCCTTAATCTATCCTCCACTCAATACTGGCTCTGCCACTTTTTAGGGTTGCCTTGACACCATTCCCAGCCTCCTGCCAGGGGTTTGGCCAAGGTCCCTCAAACATGCAGATCTGGGCCTCCTCCACCCCTGTTCCAGAAAGCTCTCAGGTTTCTGGAAATGGGGGAGGGCTCCAGAAGCCCTGACCTGTTAGAGCCTCCAAGCTTGCAATGAGGTAACCTCACTCCCAAACTCATCTCCAGGCTTCTACTCAGCCTCTATCTAACAAAAAATTATCTAACTAACCTGGAAGGCGTTAAACTGTATACAACATGTGACTAGATGAAAAAGGAACTGTATCAGAGAATTGGGTCATCTCCAGTTCTCCAGAGGATTACAAAAAAACTAATATACAAAATGAGGAGGGTATTTACATAGGTTGTATTAAAAATGTATTCAATGGTTTAAAAGAATGCTTTAAGCCCAACTTCAGTTTATACTTAAAAAAAATATCTGGATCCCATGACAGCTCCTGCAAAAAAACAATACCCACCCAATATCCAGTGCTGTCTCCTGCAGACTTCTGATCCAGCATGTGGTTGTGTTTCTTTTTCCAGGTTGAATGGTGTCCAGCATCAACACCTTTCCTGTGGATTACAGGTTGGTATGGTCCTTCTTCAAGTACCCATGTCAGTGCCTGGAGACTTGGATAAGTCACACTAGGTCCAATGGCAAGAGTGGAAGAAGCACCTGAAGACTCAAGTGGTGGTATTATGATATCCCAACCAGAGGCAGCAACAAGACTGATGGGTAGTGGGCCCGAACCGCTAGGCAGTTGGTCACCTGAGGGCAGGCAATGATAAGTTAAAAGGGTACGTAATTTCTAAATGGGTGGGAGTGGAATGAATGGGAGGAGTGGGGGGTTTCGAAATTTACACTGGAGATGGAATTAAGCAGATATGGTCTACTGCTGTCGCCATAAGGAAAGGAAGCAAATGCAAAGAAGCTACAGGAGATCAGCAAGATCAAGATGCAACAAAAGATAAAAAAAATGAAAACAAATATGTTTAGTTAGCATAGTGGCTCAGTGGTTAGCACTTCTACCTAGCAGCACGAGGATTGTCGGTTCATTTACTAGCCACGTCACCACCTGCCTGGAGCTTGCATGTTCTCCCTGTGCCTGTGTGGGTTTCCTCCCACACTGCAAAGACATGTTAATAAGTTAATTGGCTTCTGTCTAAATTTGCCCTAGTATGTGAATGTGAGTTAGGGACCTTAGGTTGTGAGCGCCTCAAGGGCAGGGACTGATGTGAATGTATATGTACAGCGCTGTGTAAATTGACAGCGATCTTTAAGTACCTATCATAAATAAATAATAAAAAGCACAACGGTTATTAATTATATACAGTGCTTTCACAGATTGTCATTCTCTTAGGATTTACATCTACTTTAAGTGACTTCTATAATTTTTCACTTTATAATAGCCCACACTTTACGCAAGCCAGATTTCTTCCTTTCCATCAAGGGCCTCTAACATACATATTAAGCAATGCCTCACCAGATATTAGACATTATTCTGTTTTTTCCTTAAAACTTTGAGCAGTCAGCATTTGTTAGTAATTTTCCATCTGACTACAAATGCACAATGGTCAGTTTAATTCCATATGGCTCTTATTTAAGTTATTTCCACACAGTTTAATAAATACAATAATGCATAAAAGAGCCTATCTAGAGGCAGAAGGAAAAGTGTGAAGTGCTCCCGGCTTCCTAGAAAAGAGGATGTTCTTTTCAGAAATTCACTTTTACTTTCTACTTTCTGTATTTCATCAAATCGCCCAGGGAAAATCTGTTTCAACCCGCTAATAAACCAAATATACAAATGTTATGCTATAGCAGCACAAACCAAAATGATAAGAGACAACACATACCGATCCCGGTGGAGTCTTCTGAGAAAGATACTTTTTAGGGGTATTTCAGGGAGAGAAATGCAAGATATTGCAGTCAAAATGCAACCCTGCAGCATCTGTATTATCAACTGCTGAGCTAGAGCTGTTGAGAGATGTGCAGATTGGGGGCTCTCCATTGGAGACCCCTCATATTTTATCAAAAACTGTAGTTGCTGACTTTTAGAAAACAGCCACTCACCTGTCCCACGATCCCGCTCTGTCACAGCCCGTTTCACCGTCCATCATGTATTTCAGGCACCAGAATCTTCAGTGTGGACACCCAGCTGTGACAGCTTTCGGCTTCACAGCCGGGTGCCCACTGCGCATGTGCGAGTAGCGCTGCACTTCCTGAATGGCCCCTTCATCTTCTCTGGGACCTGTCACGTGCCCCACAAGACCTCGGGGAGGGAGGGTAGGTGCACATCTTCCGTTTTCGTTTGCCTATGCTATCACAGTGGAAGTGGGGGCGGGTACCTGTCAAATCCGGGTACCTGTCCCCCCCCCCCCCAAAGCTGCCAATCCTGGGGGACCAATCTTTAAAGCGGAACTTCATCTTTTGGGTGGAACTCCACTTTAAACTTTTGGAAAATGAAATAAAGACTGATCAGCCACATGGACAAAGCAATGATACAAACCTCCCTAGCAGCTTATACCATTCTTTTTTACAGCTCCCTGCTGCTCCGTTCAGCTGTTGGGAACCAAAGAAAGCCTTGTGCAAGCTATGAATTGCTAGAGCTTATGAGGAGCTTTGGATTTTTCAAACTATGCCACATGGGGGTTAATTACCAAATCTGGAGTGCGCAAAATCTGGTGCAACTCTGCATAGAAACCAATCAGCTTCCAGGTTCTATTACAAAAGCTTAAAGTGGTTGTAAATCCCTCACATATACCCAGTGAAGTGACTGGCCTAGGGTGATACACAGAGATAAAACAAATCCTCCTACTTAATTTGTACCTGTCTATCTGCAGTCTTCTCTTTTCTACATTCGTTCAAAGTACTGAATTTATATAGATTGTCTGGTCTGAGAGATCTAAAAAAAGATTGTGGAGAGCTGAAATTACACACTGCAGAGCTCAGTGAGGAGAGCTCTGAGAGCTGATTGGAGGGAAGGGACACACTCGCCTTCACACAGCTTACAGGAACAGAGCTGGGGCTGTCAATCTGCTGAAGGTTCCTCCCCTGTCACCATTTTTCTCTTGGTGTCAGGAAAACTTGTCAGAAATTATTTATACTGATAGAAAAAGAAGGAGACAGCAGACAGAAATGACACTTAGTGCTCTTACTGGAAAGCTCTATGGTGATTGAGCTGCAGTCTTACCACCCCCTGACCACCCTAATAAAAATCTAAAATACATCCAGAGGGGGCTGTTCACATGCAAAATGTATGTGTACTTGCAGGCAGCACCACCTGTCAGACTCAACTATTCAAGTTAATGGCCTACACAGCAATTACAAGCCAACTGTTTGGCTAATGACTGCAGCAATTTTGCCCCATTGTAAATTTAGGCCAAAATGTGTTCTGCTACATCTTTGCTAAAAAAAATTCCAAAACGTGTAAATTAATTGGTTTACGTGACAGTTATAGCGTTTACAAATAGTGGTAAATATACTGGAATTTTTTTTGTATTTTTAGTAGTAATGGCGGCGATCAGCAACTTATAGCGGGACTGCGGTGGGCATTCTGACACTGGGGGGAACTGACTTGGTGTCACTCCCCAGTCACACCAATACAGTGATCAGTGCACTGACACTATACTAATGGCACTGGGCAGGAAGGGGTTAACATGTGGGGCGATCAAAGGGTTAACTGTGTGTGTTTTACTGTGGGGCTGTGTGTGCTTCACTGTAAGCACACTGCTTTGCACACTGCTGTTCGGGCGGGGGAAATGCAAAATCACGTATATATATATATATATATATATATGTGATTTTGCGCATCCGTGCCGCCCTGCAGCAATTTCAGGTCTATCCTTAACTGTATGGGCCTGTTCACATCAGCGCACTGTGGTATCACACACATTACCACAACACGCAGTAAAGCACATTACACTCTAGTCCGTACATTTAACCCTCTCACTACTCAAACTTAACACTTAAAGTGGAGTTCCAGCTGAAGAAAATAAAAATAAAAGTCAGCAGCTACAAAAACTGTCCTCAGAAAATGTTCACTAAGAGGAAGAAAGGGCTTGGTAATAAAGTTGGCAGCGGCTCCAACCAGGACAGGGCCTCTGTGAACAGAGGAGATTCCCTTCCTGGGAATTTAACCAATAATCTAATCAAAGTAATTGGGACCAGAGTAATTACTGCAACCAGTATTTAACATCTACAAACTATAGCATATATATTGGAATTTTTTTTAATACTACTAATGGCGGTGATCAGCAACTTACAGTATAATGAGACTGTGAAAGTGGGGAGGGCAATCTAACACTAACTGATGCTTGGGGGAACTGACTAACTGCCACTGACATCACCAGTAACATTAAAGCAGTGATCAGTGATAATACTAGATACTGTCACTGTACTAAGGACACTGGCTGGGAAGGGGTTAGCATCTAGGGCGGTCAAGGGATTAAATGTTCCTTACTATGTGCAATATGTGTAAAGTGTGCTGCTTTTACTGCTTTGTAGGGATGAGAAACAGAGAGATCATTCCCACTGTACAAAGCCCTAAGTTGATTGTCAACTCAGGGCTCTGGGCTGTGATTGGACACAGCTGATCAGCAGGTCCTGGCCATGAATCATTGTCTGTGACTTGCTGAAAGACTCCAGCTGTTTACAGTCACAGTCGGTGACGATGGGATGGGGGGAGGCATACATGTGCGCGCCCTATACCCGGAAGCAGCGGTGTACTGATCAGCAGGTCCTGGACATGAATCATTGTCTGTGACTTGCTGAAAGACTCCAGCTGTGTACAGTCACAGTGGGTGACGATGGGATGGGGGGAGGCATACATGTGCGCGCCCTATACCCGGAAGCAGCGGTGTACTGATCAGCAGGTCCTGGACATGAATCATTGTCTGTGACTTGCTGAAAGACTCCAGCTGTGTACAGTCACAGTGGGTGACGATGGGATGGGGGGCATACATGTGCGCGCGCCCTATACCCGGAAGCAGCGGTGTACTGATCAGCAGGTCCTGGACATGAATCATTGTCTGTGACTTGCTGAAAGACTCCAGCTGTGTACAGTCACAGTGGGTGACGATGGGATGGGGGGAGGCATACATGTGCGCACCCTATACCCGGAAGCAGCGGTGTACTGATCAGCAGGTCCTGGACATGAATCATTGTCTGTGACTTGCTGAAAGACTCCAGCTGTTTACAGTCACAGTCGGTGACGATGGGATGGGGGGAGGCATACATGTGCGCGCCCTATACCCGGAAGCAGCGGTGTACTGATCAGCAGGTCCTGGACATGAATCATTGTCTGTGACTTGCTGAAAGACTCCAGCTGTTTACAGTCACAGTCGGTGACGATGGGATGGGGGGAGGCATACATGTGCGCGCCCTATACCCGGAAGCAGCGGTGTACTGATCAGCAGGTCCTGGACATGAATCATTGTCTGTGACTTGCTGAAAGACTCCAGCTGTGTACAGTCACAGTGGGTGACGATGGATGGGGGGAGGCATGCATGTGCGCCCTATACCCGGAAGCAGCGGTGTACCGGTATGTCGCTGTTCTTGTATGAGCTTCTTGTCCACAGTACCAGGGGCGGACTGACCATTTGGAAACTCGGGCACTGCCCGAGGGCCCGGGGTCAGAAGGGGGCCCCATGAGATGCCCCTGGTATCTTTTTCATAGGCTGTTTTGAGTTTGGGCAAGAACACAGGGGCCCCATGATCCCCTATTGCCCGGGGGCCCCATGAGTTGTCAGTCCGCCCTTGCACAGTACAATGTATGTGGGCGGGAAGTGGTTAAAGTTTTACGGGGCAGCGGCTGGGACCTCAGTTCCTATTGACAAAGGCACTCCCCTCACGCCTCCAGAACTACATCTTCCAAAAGTTTTTCCCAAAATAAAAAGTATGTAGAATAGGCAGGCTCTTCGGAGTCAAGTCAGCAGCATTTTTTTTCTGGGGGGGAGAATCAATGTAGGCATGTGGAGAGGGAAAGAGAAGGGTAATAGCTGAAGTTATGTAGTTCAGAAGGCAGGGCCAAAAACACTGATTGGAGTATTAGTGCGCCAAAAGCACTGTGCTGTCAGCCCCCCCAAAAAAAAGAAAATGAAGGAGCACTGGATTTCTGTATTTCATGAATATTAGCAATCCACTGATATTACTTGTTGCTTGGAGCAAAAAGATAAATGAATAAATAAAATATATATATATACACTGTATATACACATGTAGGTAAAGAACATCAGCAGTTTTCAGTTTTGGTGGTTTAGTATTTGAAAAGTTCATAGTTACAGGTATTAATCCACAGTCTAATTAGGCACCAGTAGAATCAATCTTCTGTTGATGTTAATGACCGGTCTCTAGGTGAAGCAAGGGGAGGTCTAGTAGGCTAATTTGTAATTAGCCACGTACATAAATGTGTAATTTATTGTAAATGTCTTATTTGGGACTCAATCTGTTTTAATTCAAATGTTTTTCAACAGGATGGTTCTTGTAAAAAAAAAACCCATATGTTTACCTAATAATTGAAGACTTGTTCAACATCTGTGGAGTATCGTTTGTATTTATTTTTTAACAGCATTAGTTTTCAGCGGCAGCAACAATATCTGGAAACCTACTGCACACTGCGAGAATGTGAAGGTTGCCATGGCTGACCTCCACTTCTGAAAATACTAATTCTCTGGCTGTCATCCTGGTCCAATGGCTTCATTACTTTTTGAGCCACTGACCCAGAATACTCTATATGGTGTATGCAGTTCTGGCTTCATTGTTACTTTTTCTGATATGTGTGCTTTTTGTAGATTATTATTTCAGAATTTTCAGAAATGACAAAGACAGCTGGGCAATGTTCCACTTGACTGGTCAAGTATATGCCTAATCTGACTCTTGAATAAAACACTTCCAATTGCTTCTTTATAAAGTATAAGGTAGGTAGGTTTATTGACTAATGTCTAAATTGACAGTATGTACAGTATGTATGCAAGATAGGGACTTGTAAGCAACGTGAGGGCAGGGACTGATGGAAATGTACAGCATGTCAAAGTGATGCATAAATTGTTGGCGCTATATAAATACCTGTTACGATTAGTGAGCAGTCTTACCATTCATTTAGAGAGTGCGGCAGCACACAGGCATAGTAAAAATCTGTCTACCACCAGAATACTGCTCTCTCTGTGTGTAAGCAGTAGCCCTCTCTACTTGTGCTCTGGCATACCACCAGTAAGTCAGAGTTAGGGCCCTTCAGTAAATCACTTTTCAGGGGTGGATTAGTGGCTCCTTTGCAGAAGTTCAGGAGAGAAAATACTGCCACTTCCTGAGTGTCTGTTTTTTTTTTATCTCAATGAAGATTTTACACTGAAACACCATGCCGGTGGTGGCTTGGTCCTATTGACTTCAATAGGCTTAGTAGGCAAGTAGAGTTCCCGCTGAACGTGTCATGGAGAGTTAAAATTGTTAAACTGCAAAACGAAGCATTGTGGCCATGGCAATGTGAACAGACCTGAGTGGCCACCATGTCTACTTGTTGGTAGACGGTTGTAGTTTCACGGCGGCCATTTCTTTCCTCGCTGGGTCAGTACACTATTTACTTCCATCATTGCTGGCAGTCTTTATTTGTACATGTACCACTGGATTTTATTGCATGTGATCAATAAATAGTTGGAACCTACTACACTATTGGCACTCCCTCTTTGTTTTGACCCTCTATTGAGGGTTTCAGATCCACAGCAGCTGTTTCCAGTTCATCCTATATCCAGAAGAGGGAGCTCATTAATCTAGGCTGTCCATTCACTGGCTAAGGGAGATCTCTGAATTCTACCATGTATTACTACACCCAAGGCTGATGATTTACCTCTGAGGGATGAACCGTGTGTTTGCTGATTACTTGGATCGATGATCATATATATGCACATTTTTTCTATAGAGTTCCAGTCACCATACATTGCAAGGAAGAGAGTTTATTCAAAGTTTTTCTTCAGGCTCTCTGCATAAGATCTATATGAAGATTATATGAACTATCTTTTATCCTATATTGCAGCGCTACACTTTATGTTTTATGATTTATTTGCAAAGTCTTTGTGATTCCTTTGAGTGTTTTAGCAGCTGATTTATGAGCGCTCGCTTTACTCCTATATCTCGTAGTTTCACTAGGGTTGGTGTCACCTGGTGTGGTAACACGTGGTGTCACCCTGGTCCCGGGTTCTGTGTTGGGAGATGGAAGGATGTCCTGTTCAGGGACCAGCCAATGATGTGTGATGCAGAAGGGTGGGCTCTGGGAGGGGTCATTACCATTCATGGACTGATATTTAGAGTAGGAGCCGTCCAATCAGAGGGCGGGGCGGACTCCACTCTGGTGTACGGGGGACAGGCTGGGTGTGAATTGGCCTGCAGCAGCCACAGTAATCCCAGGGATCAGACACCCCCCCCAACGCACACTAGGACCCGACATCTCACCCCCCGTTTGGCGCGGCTGTTCCTGGGCCTGCAGGAGGGATGAGGAGCCCTGGTACCTGGGGAGAGGACAGGGGACACTCCAATCAGATGGATGACAGCCGCTGACAGCTCTTCTTTTCATTTTGGTGTCACCCCCTGTGATGGTGTCACCCGATGTGGCCCTCACCCCCCTAGTGACGCCACTGGACGGTTGGAGGGGGTGACAGTAAATACATGTAGCACCCTCCTAGTTATGTTGCTAGGAAGCTAGGCAAATTTAGTTCTGTCTCCTCTGCAGTCAGTGGAGCAGTTGTTGATAACTTTTGGCTGCTCTGGGTCTCACAGACTGAAGGTTTGATTTCTATCCCTTGCCTTCCAGAAGCTTCTGGAACATAGAGGGTTGGGCAAGGCAAATTTTGGCCCGAAATATTTATTGTGCTCCAGTCAATCCCTGGGAAGGTGTGCCCAGAAGGTGGCTGGAGAAGCATACAAGTAGTCTAAGACTTAGACCAGTAAGGTTTTTTTTTTCTCCTTCTCCCTGTTGGAGGGAATCCACCCGTCCAAGTGGGGGTGGCTATACCCACATGCAGCAGCTATCCTGGTATTCACCGTCAGCCCAGCTGTTGCAGAGCTGGGGGGCCTACAATGCATCCTGAAAGTATTCACAGCGCTTAACTTTTGCCATGTTTGGTATGTTACAGCCTTATTCCAAAATGGATTAAATTAATTTTTTTCCTCAACATTCTACAAACAATACCCCATAATGACAACGTGAAATAAGTTTGTTTTGAAATCTTTGCAATTTATTAAAAATAAAAAAATAAAAATAAAAACACATGTACATAGGAATTCACAGCCTTTGCTCAATACTTTGTTGAAGCCCCTTTAGCACCAATTACAGTCTCAAGTTGTTTTGAGTATAATGCTACAAGCTTAGCACACCTATTTTTGGTCCATTTCTCCCATTCTTCTTTGCAGTACCTCTCAAGCTCCCTCAGGTTGGTCGGGGAGCGTTGGTTCACAGCCATTTTCAGATTTCTCCAGAGATGTTCAATCAGGTTCAAGTCTGGGCTCTGGCTGGGCCACTCCTGGACCATTCACAGAGTTGGCTCGTAGCCACTCCTTTGCTATGTGGGCTGTGTGCTTAGGGTCATTGTCCTGTTGAAAGATGAACCATTGCCCCAGTCTAAGGTCCAGAA